GCTGTTTTATATTGCTGTCTTTCTATATTTTATATATATATATATATATATATATATATATATATATATAAATTGTGATTGTTTAATTGAATTGAATTTAATGTACAGAAGCATAAAAAAGTGTTGCTTTAATCTTTAATCTGAATAGTGGCTAGGTTGGTTTTGATTTATTAAATTTTTTCATAATAGAACACTATAGGCTACTATTAGATTGGAACTTTTGTTTCCTTTATTTATTTACAATACTTTATTGAGACATTATATTTACCATTATGATTTAATATTAATATTTCGTCTTTGAATTTATGAATAAAATACAGGTCTCCCTCCAATTAAAGACCCCTCCGAGAATTGGACGGAAACCTGCACTTAAATTGGACTGAATTTTAAAACATTTGTTTTATTTTTTACTCTTTCAGATGTTCGGTTTCGTGAATGCTATTGTGTGGGGTGTCAATTGTGTCTTTGTTTACACAGGAATACCTCTGCCTTGTAACAAATGTTATGGGCCTCCTGCTAACAATTAACGTGTAAACTATAAACAACTCGTAATTATGCCTGTATATTAATGAGCAAAAATGTAATGTCGGAGATAGTATTCGATATTCAGATTCACTTGAATAGATAGTACTCCCTATGCAGTGCAGAAGGCTACACATTGACCAAAGAGGAACAGAAAATTTGATTTAAAGGGTCTATAAAATATCAGAAGTATTTGAATTATAAAAATGATTTTCAATCTTTTAGTAGTAGTAGAAGATAATGAACTTAAGATGCTGAATATTGTTAAATTAAACTTTAAGGTTCTTATAAATGCATGTATTCGATTTTGTACTTCTATTATTGTAGGCCTACTATTGATACGATTTAATAATGACAATTATTATACAATCACAGCTTCTGACATTTTTATATACAATTTTAATGAATAAAATGAGATTGAGATTTTTTTTCTTTCTCTTTTATTTTTCTAATGATACATATTTAAAACGTCACAAACATTTCAAATGCTTTTAGCAAAAATCACTCAATCAAGATCGATCTATTATAACTATTATTTAATAAAATAGTTTAACCGAATTGTGGTGAATATTTACACGCAAAAAAAAAAATTAACACAAAAAAAAAAAAAAAAAAAAAAAAAAATACACATTAAAAATACCAATACTTTTTAAAAGGCAAAGCGGCACAGCACAATAATTCATAATTAAAAAAAAAAACATATAAAAGCATCTAACGTAAATAGTCTACTCTTTTCATAAATTCATTAACTTTAGAAATTATGTAAGGTTAGAATTATCTAATTTATGAAACGTGATTAGCTTGCCACCTGAACCTTGGACTCGGGCTCAGACACACTTTATTTCATTCTTTAAAATGATGTATTACAATAAAACTTAAAATATAAAGTGACAAATTTAAAATTATTATAAGTCCCTTCAAATTTCTTTTAAATTTCGATTTTACATTTATAAATTTAATAAACAAAAACAACTATATAGGCCTAACACTAATAATACTTAGACCTCCCATATGCCAAAATATTTTAAAGTTATCGAGTTTTATACACGAATAGAGGGCGCTGCAATAAGTAAATAGTAAATAACAAGTACAGTACCAGTGTCATCAAAGTATTTCTAGTATCTTTGGTGTCATGCCGTAACCAAGAAAGGCGGCGGTTGCTTTAATTTCTGAATACATTTGTTGCAGCATTGTTACCAGATGCAGTCTAACTTCTAAGCTTACATTCTACTGTAAGTATAAGTATGTGCTATGGCGTAGTGTCCCAGAGTGTAGAGGAGAGCTAGGCTACCACGTAATTTAGGAGGAGAGCCCTACTACTAGCTAGGCCTAGTCTCTACTACAACAGGCCTAGGCCCAGTACTCTAGACTTCAAATCTAGCAGCTGGCTGCTAGCTGCAGTTGAGTTGCCTAGCCTTGCTTCTAGTCTAGGGCCTAGGGAGCCTAGGCCTAAGACAAGTAAAGACCAACCATGCTAATATCGCCAGTAAAAACCTTCATGATAGTACAACAAAATGATGTCCATCATTTGGATCTTATTTAATTTAGGAAATTCATACAAACACAATTAAGAAAGATATAAAGCCAAAACCTAATAGTATTTAATTTAATAAGAAGGGTAAATATACAGTAGGAAAATAAACTAGCCTAGGACCTAGGCCTAACTCCCAGCATCACTGCTGAATTGTATATGGTCGTGGTCCATCACCACTTTATCAGCTGTATGTAGAGATTTCGCGGCAACTGCAGTGAACCACTGCATCAGATGATGTGTACACTGGACTTTCTAGTCTGAGAAGACTTGGGTTTACCAACCGAACCCTAGCTGAGGAGCAACTCGAGGCCGCGCCAAAGTTAAGGCATAGTTAATACGGCAATCCTCCATTATCCCTTGACCACTCGACTGGCAATGGTAGAATCTAGAAAACCTAAAATATTCAAATCAGCTATTAATAAAATGTTCACTTTTTTTACAGATATTTCATTATAAATTAGGGATCAGTGGTCAAGCAAGACGATGAGTGAGGGTGGGACGTTTGTAGTTCCTGGTAAGCCACCTCCAAGGCCTGTAGGCAGGAAAGTATCCAGGTTAGCAGAAAAACGAGGCTCTTTGCCTGCAAGTATCATTAATGCCGACATCAGCCGACTGAAGCTTGGAAGGCAAGTGATGTGTATCTTCATTTCCTCTTTTTTTTAATATAGAATAGAAAGGTTGAAGTTCACAACTCGCACTGCTATCTCGATGATGAAATTTTTCTCAACCATCTTTTCATTACCTTATATACCGCTCAGGCAATTGGTTACCCTTACATGCCTCCCTCTAATTAATGACCCTTCCAATATAGACCACCTCTTTACAGCCTCAAATGAATGTCTTATCTTTTATTTTTATAAAAATAATTTTTATAATTAAGGACCATTTGCTGTTAAAAGACAAGCAAAACTCTAGTCCCAAAAGTGCAGCCATAGTCATTGATTGTATGTTATGCGCATTGAGATAAGAAGGTGCTCTCCATCTCGCCGTGTTTAATTTTTTGGTAAACTAAGAATGCTGAGCATATGGTGGCGGGAAACACATCAGACTTCAAAGACATCGCGCAAACGTTCTTCACGCACTGCGACAGCTTTGTCCTTTTTTGATCAACTATAGGATACCTCTATGGAATGCATTAATACTGTGCTCTAATATTTGTTATTTTTTTTCCCTTTGCTACTTCTTACAGACATCAATCGCAACCTAAATTGTCACGAGATGAAGGTGGAGGTTCGTTGAGTAATCTGCTAATTCAAAGAGGGCGCTCTAACAGTATTACACAATTAGATAGCTTTAAGAAGTAAGTAAAATAGAAGTTATTGTAACGATTTTTCAATTGTAAAAGAGCTGTAGTTAGGTAGTTAACACGTTGGCTGTCAGCGACGAGTATGATCATCCCACAGGGTGTTGCTGAGGGCGCCAGAGACTGCTCTACTCGTCAAACATGCTAGCATTTTTTTTACTTCTTTGTTATACATTGTAGAACCACAGACTTAAAGGCTAGTAGTTTGGGGAAGATACACCTAGACGATAACATACAAATTATGTATTATATTGCTGGCAGTACACTCGAGCGGCACAAGTAGGGGCGCCTTTTGAACATATAACAACCCATGACAAGAAAACCCGCACTTGGCATAGTCAATAAAAAGTGCCGTCACAGTGCCGTCATTGAGTTTACTCATCCCCTAATATTTTCCCGCCAATTTATTAGACATCATTTTGATGATATATGACTAGATACAATTTCACAAAAGTATGTTTGTACATGTAAAGTTGTTTTAGCACATGGAAAGGAACCTTTTAAAAACCAATCGCACTCCCCAAGCCCTATTATTTAGCCTTACTTTATACAGTGTATGGAACAGTATAAATTATCTCTACTGGACAGGCCTCCTAGTTTAATCAAATATTTATAATCAAAATATCTAAAGAAAAAGAAAAATTATTTATTGATTTCAAGAAGGATCTCGAAAATATTGAATAGTGCTAAAATGTGGCAAAGACAAGGCAAACCAGTCGATCGATTTTGATACAGGCTTAAACAGTAAAATAGGATCTATAAAATGGTAAAAGAATCATTTAATTTTCTTATGAAGTTACAAGTGTTTAAATATACAGCTGTTTAAAGAACAATATTTGAGAAACCAGCCTTCAAAGTTTATGATTTCAGGCATTTCTCATGCAGAAGCCATCACCAAATCCTTAAAAAGTGGTGTTTTAGCCTTGAAAATATGGAAAATAACAGCAGAGCATGATGTATAGATATATAGAGGTTAGTTTAGTGCAACAAAACCAATTCCAAAAATGGTGACATTCCAGCATGTTTTGGCCATTATCTCTGAAACATGATTTGCAACAAGTGACTGATTTGTCTTGTCTTTGCCACAAATGAATCTGGTTCCTCTGAATCTGTCCATGTTATTTCCAGAGTTTAGTTTAGGATAGATTCTAGCATAATTCAGTTAATGCATACAGACATTGATATCATCCACACCAATAATTCCCACAGCATCTAACACCCTCTTTTCAAGCTTTAGATAATTTAATACTTTAACCTGTTTTTTAGCCCTGTTGCTTCTGTTGTATTTTTTATGTTGTACATATCAATTTTTTAGATCATTCAGGGTAGGAAGCAACAGAATTTTAGTAAATACAGGTAGTATTTTTTTTGTTTGTTTATTAGATTTTTGGATCTATTTTTGAGGCTATAATCGTTACTTAGTGCTCTTTCCTGTTGTGCTTCTGTTTTTGTAGTATTACTCATCGTTTGTCTCCTTCTTTCAGGACACTAAGTGCCAGTAATTTAGCTGCTTTATCCGACAGCAACCTGTCCATCACGAAAGCTCTTCCATTTAAAAGCTATGATAAGCCTAACACAGCGAGCAGCATCATCAAAGATTACTGGCAGCAGCTGGTCAAACGCTACTTCTTTCAGATCACAGAAGGCTGCGGCAATGAGCATTGTAAAAACAAGTTCTGTGCCTCAAGTAAAGGTATGTGGACGCCTGCGTATGTGGTATTTTCTACAGTATAAATCATTTACAACTGTTTGATTGATTGGAAATTTAAAAAGAAATAACTATTTAAAGATGCACTATCTGTCATGAGCTAAAAGAATTTAAAAATCAATTCCATACAGTATCTGAAATTGCATAATTTTTGTATTTAAATAATTATTAACTTACTATTTCAACGTGAAATATTTGCCACTATAATACCTTTGCCTGTAGTCCTTCTAGACCCTTAAATTGGCTGGTAATAAATTTATAGATTTTTGTAGAAAAACTTTGTAAATCAGAAAAAAAATTATTCTTTTTCCAATCTCTTCCTGGTTTAAAGAATACTGCACTAGTATTAATATTTTTATAATTAATCTATTACAGCATTATTATCATCATCATAAATCATTATTTTTATTACAATAGTAGTATTAAAAAAAAAATTATATTTGTATATATTTTTATTTAATTTCATTTCATTTATTTAGTCAAAAGAACAATAAAACTCACAACTGCATTCCTCGTCAGTGGCAAAATTTATTAATTGTCTTCAATATTCATCATTACTTATTGTTATCTCAATTATTGTCCTTATTACACTTGATTTATTAATTTAATCAAACCATTTTTAAATTATTTTTTTGCAGATTGTTTGCATGTGCTAAATAAAGGGAATGCAGTAATAATAAGCATACAACTAGCAGCACATCAGAAGTAAGTACTTTAGAATTCTCAATTCTTTACTTTCCAAAGCAACTCACCAGAAGACACAACACACTGCAAGACAACTCACCTGAAGACGACACAACTCACCAGTTTACAGGATAGGTGCATATGGTACTCTAGGAAGTACACAATGTTCCATATTTTTTTTTCTTTGATGGATATTTTACTCAAATTTGATTTTAGTAGAAGTGGTTTGGTGCAGTGAGAATGGTTTGGTTTAACAAGCTTGAGGTTCAATCCCTCGCTGTGCATTTTGCTTGTATGGGTACCTGGTGGGGTTGCCTGTGCTTGCGATCATTACAACAGCAGTACTTGTGGACACAATGACCTGAGACATAAGTGCTTCATGTCTGCAAAAGAAGGTGCTAGATAGATACATAATAAAAAATCTATTTTTTTCCCCCCTCAGGCAATATATTTGCATATCAGAAAAGTTGATTGGTCGTTGCTTGCCAAAAGATGCACTCCAGCCAGAAGAAGACCAACCGACACCTTTCTTATATTCCTTATACTCTTGTACACCATTTGCATCACTGTTCGTAGATAAAGGTGAACCAGAATCGCTTTCCTGTGAGGACTGGCCAGACACATCTATAAAAGCATCAAGTTTTGATAATATAATGTCCACCAGTAAAAAGAAAGATTACAAAACAATAGGTCAGCAAAATTGTATGAGAGTCTCTCAGTCATTGGCTGATTCGGAGCAGTTGGTATCAAGGAAGTATTGTGTTTCCCAGTATTCGTCAACAGTGAAAAATGATGAATCTAGATTGAACCAGTTAAGAAGTCTGTCGATTGATTTGAGTAAAGTTGGTGGGGGCGCTATTGCTAATGTTCAATCTGCTGTTGGTTCGGACCATCGTCATCATAGCTACAACAGTTTACCAGCACTAAGGTAGAAATACAATCATACTGAATTTATTTGAATAAAAGCCTTCTTCCAAACTCACTGATCATTTTTACATAGATGCCCCTTGAATAAATTAAGAAAAAAAATCTTATGTGGGAAAGAAAGCCAGGGCTATTGGTGTTTGATATAAAAAAATAAAAAAAACACTGCACACACAATTTGTTACAGCTGTTACAGAGCACACCACAAGTACTGTACATACCACAAGATACGCATGAAGGTATTATAC